AAGATGACCTAAAAAATTGATATATCTTACTCATGAGCCAGAAAATTCAATAGTGTTATCATATCAATTCTCCCCAAACTGATGTGTAGATTCAATGCAATTACATCAAATTCCAACAAAGCTTTCTAGTAGAAAATGCCTTAGGTACTTACACCACCAGAGCTCCTAGAAATTGAGAAACGGATTCTAAAATTCATGTCAAAATGCCAAGAAAAAAAAAAAAGGAGCCAAGAGAACCTTGAAAAATAATGAATTACAGCACTAACACTACGTGATTCCAAGTCCAGCGGTCAGGATATTGTCACATTGATGTAAAGACAGACTAACAGGTAAATAGAACAAACTAGAGAGTCTAGAAATAGAATATACGTACATGGAAAACTGAATTTTGACAAAGATTCAAAAACAATTCAGTGAAGAAAGGATAGTCTTCTCAACAAATGGTGATGGAACAATTGAATATTCATATGCAAAACAAAACAAACAAAATTTTGCCATATATGAAAATTAACTCAAAATGGAATCATTAACCTAAAAGTAAACACTAAAATTATATACCTTCCAGAATAAACCACAGGAGAAAATCTTTGAGAACTTGGGTTAAGCACAGATTTCTTAAATATGACACGAAAAAAGCATGATCCATAAAAGAAAAAAATCGGTAAATTGGACTTCATCAAAATTGAAAACTGCTTTTCCAAAGACACTGTTGGGAGATCGAGAAGACAGCCACAGACTGTGAGAATAATCTTCGCCACGCCTACATCAGATAAAGGATTTGGATCCAGGACAAATCAAAATACAAAATTCGAGTAAGAAAACAAACAAAACAATAATAAACGAGCAAAAGATTTGAAGAGACATTTCATCAAAGAAATACGCCCAGTGCAGAGAAGCAAATGAAAATATGCTCAACCTCATTCATTGCCCATTCCAAACAGACAACAAAACCAGTTGCCTTGGAGTCGATCCTCACTCACAGTGACCCCATGTGTGTCAGAATAGAACTGTGCTCCATAGAGTTTTCAATGATAGATTTTTCTGAAGTAGATCAGGAGGTCTTTTTTCTGAGGCATCACTGGGTGGACTTCAATCTCCAACCTTCCAGTTAGCAGCCAAACTCATTAACCATTTGCACCACCCACAGACTCCTCATTTGCCATTACTACTACTACCACCGAAGAATGCTGAAAGTACCATGGACTGCTAAAAGAACTAACAGATCTGTCCTGGAGGAAGTGCAGCCAGAATGCTCCTTGGAAGCAAGAATGGCCAGACTTCGTCTCACCTATTTTGGTCATGTTGTAAGAAGGGACCATTCCCTGGAGAAGGATGTCATGCTTGGTAGGGTGGAGGGTCGGCGAAAGAGGGGGAGGCCTTCAACCAGATGGATTGATACGGCGGCTGCGATGATGGGCTCAAGTATAGCGGGGTTGTAGGGCTGACGCGGGATTGGGCAGTGTTTCATTCTGCTGTGCATGGGGTCGCTATGAGTCTGAAACGACTCGATGGCACTTAACAACAACAACTACTACTACTACTACTACCACCAGCACCACCACTTGCCATAGAGTCTATTCTAATTCATGGCAACCTTCTGTGTTGCAGACTAGAACCAAACTCCATATGGTTTTCAAGGCTGTGACCTTTTGCAAGCAGATCACCAGACCTTTCTGGATCACCAATCCTTTCTTCCAAGGTGGGTTTGAACTGCCAACATTTTTATTAGTAATTGAGCCACCCACGAACTCTTTCATTAGTCATCAGGTAATGCAAATTAAAGTCACAATAAGATATCACTACACACTATTAGAATGGCTACAATTTCAATGTCTGGACTTCCAAATAAGTGTTGGCAAGGATATAGGGTAATTGGAACTCTCTTACACTGCTGGTGGGAACGAAAAATGTAACAACCACTTTGGCAAAGTTTGGTAGTTTCTTATAAAGTTACACCTATCTCTTATGATCCAGCCATTCCATTGTTAGGTATTTACCCAAGAGAAAAGAAAGCATATGTTCACACAATGCTTTGCACAGGAAAAATCCTAGGAGAGTTATTTCTGATAATGAAAAGTTAGAAAACAACATAATTTTATAACAACAGGTGAATAGGTAAGTATGTTGCAGTACATCCATGAAGTAGAATACTGGAACTAAAAAACTCATTGCCATGGAGTTGACTCTAACTCATAGTGATCCTATAAGACAGAGTGGAGCTGCCCCATAGGATTCCCAAGACTGTAATCTTTATAGAAGGAGCTCTGGTGGTGCTGTGATTAAAGTATCGGGGTAGTAAAGATTTACCCCCTTGGAAACCCTATGGGGCAGTTCTACTCTGTTGCAGTGGGTTTTGGAGTTTGGAATCTTTATGGAAGCAGATTGTCACATCTGTCTTCCGTGGAGTGGCTGGTGGGTTCCAATGGCAGTCTTTTGGGTTAGGAATCAAACATTTAACCACTGTACCAGGAGGGGTCCTTAGTGAATACTGTTGTTAGATGCTGTTAAGTTAGTTCAACCCTGTGTACAACAGAACAAACCCTGGTTGAGCACCTCTCACGATCATTGCTGGGTTTGAGCCCATTGTTGCACCCACTGTGACAATCCACTGAGGATCTTCCTTTTTTTCACTGACCCTCTACTCTACCAAGCATGATGTCTTTCTCCAGGGACTAGTTTCTTCTAATAACATGCCAAAGTATGTAAGATAAAATCTCACCATCCTACTTTCTAAGGCACATTCTGGCTGTACTTTTTCTAAGACAGATTTGTCGTTCTTCTGGCAATCCATGTATATTCAGTATTCTTCATCAACACCATAATTCAAATGCATCAATTCTTTTTCCATCTCCCTTATTCATTGTCCAGCTTTCACACGCCTATGAGGCTATTGAAAATACCATGATTGCAGTCAGGTGCACCTTAGTCCTTGAAGTGATGTCTTTGCTTTTCAACACTTTTTTTTTTTTTTTTTTGCTTTTTAACCCTTTGAAGAGGTATTTTGCAGCAAATTTGCTCGACACAGTACATTGTTTGATTTTTTTGATGGCTGCTTCCATGGGTGTTGATTGTGGAGAAAAATGAAATGAAATCCTTAACAACTTCAATTTTTTTCTCTGTTAATTATGTTCTTGCTTATTGGTCCATTTGTGAGGATTTTTGTGTTCTTTATGAAGAGGTGCAATCTATACTGAATGCTTCGGTCTCTAAACTTTATCAGTAAATGCTTCAAGTCACTTTTAGCATGTCACTTTCAGCAAGTAAGTTTGTGTCATCACAAGTTGCTAATGAGTCTTCATCTAATCCTGATGCCACAATGTTCTTCATAAAATCCAGCTCTCATATTATTTGCTCAGCATACAGACTGAATACCAAACCCAAACCAAACTCACTGCCATCGAGTAGCATCCAACTCATAGCGACCCCTGCTTGGGTTTCTGAGGCAGTATCACTACGGAAGTAGATTGCCCAACCTTCCTTCCAAGGAATGGCTGGTGGGTTTGAACCACCAGCCTTAAAAGGATACAACCTTGACACATAACTTTCCTGATTTAAATCCATGCAGTATCTCCTTGTTCTGTTCAAATGATAGCCTTTTGGTCTGTGTATAGATTCCTCACCAACACAATTAAGTATTCTGTAATCCCTGTTCTTCACAATATTAGCCATAATTTTTTGTGGTTGACACAGTTGAATGCCTTTGCACAGTCAATAAAACACAAATAAACATCTTTCTGGTATTCTTTTCAGCCAAGATCCATCTGACATGAGCAATGATATCTCTTGTTCTCACTCCTCTTCTGAATCCAGTTTGAATTTCTGGAAGTTCCTGTCAATATACTGCTGCAACCACTTTTGAATTATCTTCAGTAAAATTTTACTTGCATGTGATATGTGTTAGACTGGGTTCTCTAGAGAAACAAAAAACAGCAAAGCTTATATATATAAAAAAAGAGAAATTTATCTTAGGAAAATGGTTCACAACCGTATAGAAGCAGGCAAGTCCAAAGTCCCTGGAGCAAACATCAGGTTGGAGGCTTTTCTTAGCTTCCGCAACCACAGGGGCTGAGAAGCTCAAGGCTGGCAGGCAGTACACCGGCTGTTGATTCCAACAAATGACGAATCCAAGATCTCCAGGCTGAATGGTAGACTGCTCACTCAGGGACAGTTGTAGGCAGCACAACAGAATCCCAATCCACAGAAGAACGTCTCTCTTCCCAGGATGTGCCTGGGTATCCTGAAAACAAGCCACACCCCTAGGGAAACTCCCCCTGAACAGACTGGCCACTGAGAACACAGTCATTGGATCCTATCATGGGACAACCACACAGAACTGGGGTCCAGCCAAGTTGACACACAGCTCCAACTATCACATGATATTAATGATATTGTTTGATAATTTCCACATCTGCTGGATCACTTTGCTTTGGAATAGGCACACACATGGATGGATCTCTGCCAGTTGGTTGGCCAGGTACATACTCGTCTTCCAAATTTCTTGGCATAGATAAGTATTACTGTACAGTGTACTACTATTCAGCACTAAAAAGGAGTAAACATTTGTTAGATACAAAAACATGAATGCATCCCTGTTACGCTGAGTGAAAAAAGCCAGACAAAATCAAGTGCATATTGTACGATTCCACTTTTACTCTAGAAACGAAAAAAGTATACTGACAGGAGACAGATTAGTGATTGGCCTAGGGATAGGAGATGAGCCAGGACGGTGGAGAAGGGTCACATAAGAGCAGGATAGGGGAGACGATTGCAGAAGGAACCTGTGCGTGGTAGGAGAGGGAGGTGACGTTGGATGGGAGAGGGAGTGATGTGGGATGAGGGAGGTGATGTAGGAGGGGCGGAGCTGGAGTGTGGCGCTAGCGGTGGTAGGAATGGGGAGGTGGGGCGGTAGATGGAGAAGGAAGAGGAGGGGCGAGTGAGCGGCAGGCGGGGGCGGAGACTCTGCACTTTGCGGCTGGGCTTGGCTCTGCTAAATCCACGCCATGGCGCGCCTGCTCTGCGTGCTCTCTGGCCTGCCGTGGCCAGAGGCTCCTCTGCGGGCAGTGCGGAGCCTTGCGGACAGCGGAGGCCTCTGCTCAAAGGCCAGAAACGGGGACGCAGGTAGGGCGCAGACTTTGCCGCTGCTCTGGCGGCCCGCCTCTTTCCTGCTTTCGGTTTCACATCATTGGCTGAGACTTGTAAGGAGCCCTGATGACCGAGTAGTTAAGTGCTGGGCTGCTATCAAAGGTCAGCAGTTGGAACCCACCAGCCAGCAGTAGAAAGATGTGTCAGTCTGTTTCTTTACAGAAAGATTAACCAAACCAAACCCCTGCAGTGGAGTCCATTCCAACTCCTAGAGACCCTATAGGACAGAGTAGAACTGCCGGATAGGGTTTCCAGAGCTATAAAGTTTAGGGAAAGAGCTGTAGTGGCGCAGTGGTTAAAGCATTTGGTTGTTAACCACATCGGTGAGTTGGAATCCACCAGCCTCTAGACTGTGACAGATGAAATAGTCTGCTTCCGTAAACATGTACAGCCTTGGAAGCCTTATGGGGGCAGTTCTCCTCTGTCCTACAGAATGGTTAAGAGTCCGAATCCACTCGATGGCAGGGGTAGTGTTTAGGGAAGCAGACTGCCGCATCTTTCTCCCTTGTATTCGCTGGTGGGTTGGTGGGCTTAAACCACTGCACATTCACCTAGCAGCCCAGCTCTTAACCAATGCCCCACCAGGGCTCCTTTCCCTGTCATAGCCCCTTTTACACTGTACCCCTCTTTGAATTTATGCATCCTTCCTTCTTTTTACATATAAGATGCAGATAACTCAGAATTTAGTTTCCTGTGGATTTGTTTCCTGCCCTGGGAAAAGTGTGGGCTAATAATCTGTTGTTCCTTTAAACTAATAATCATTATTTGTTAAAGAATTTGGTGTTGGCTGTAGACCAGGGAAAGAATGTGTGTGTGTATGTATGCACGCGCGTGTGCGCGAGCGCACAGCTAAATTTCTTTGACTCCACTGTTTGATTGAGACATATTATTTCACCATTAGGAAAGACCTATGTCAGCTGGCATGGTATTGTAGATATTATTTCAGGGTTGTTTTAGTGCCCCTTTTGGATTGACTTCCTGGGCAGCAGTCCAACTGGCCCACCTCTGAGTCCAAATCTGTGTGTGTCTATTGTAGACATTTAGAAATCTTATTCCACTGGCAACATACCCAGTCATTTGGAACTCTTTCTAGACCCTCCCTGAAGTTTTTTTTAAAAAACAGTGTTAAGTAAATAGCATGCATACCTCAGCAATATTGCAGATTGGGTTCTAGACCTCCACAATAAAGTGAATATCACAATAAAGTGAGTCACACAAAATTTTTGGTTTCCCACTATATATAAAAGTTATGTTTACACTTTACTTTATTAAGTGTGCAATTGTGTTATGAAAGGGAGCTCTGGTAGTGTACTGCCTAAGGCATTTAACTGCTAACCGGAAAGCTGGTGGTTCGAACACACCAGCCACTCCTCAGAAGGAAGATTGGGCAATCTACTTGCGTAGTGATACTGCCTCGCAAACCCAAAGAGGAGTCTCTATGAGTCAGATCCAACTCAACGGCAATGAGTTTGGTTTTGGGAGCTCTGGTGGCATAGTGCCTAAGGCATTTGACTGCTAACCAGAAGGTTGGTGGTTCAAACCCACCAGCCACTCCTCAGGAGGAAGGTTGGGCAATCTACTTTCGTAGTGATACCACGTAAGAAACCCAAGGAGGGGTCGCTATGGCAGTGAGTTTGAGTGTTACAAAAAAGTTTGAAATATTGTGAGAATTACCAGAATGTCACATAGAGACATGAAGTGAGCACATGCTGTTGGAAAAATGGCACCAATAGAATTGTTCCAAGCAGCATTTCCACAGACCTATTTGTAAACAAAACAAAACAAAACAACAACAAAAACCACAGTATCTGTGAAGTGCAATAAAGCAAAGCACAATAAAATGAGGTATGCCTGTAAATAAAGCACTGGTATGTGGAGTTGTAGCTGATGTAGCATGACTTCCTTTCATGGCCTCATAACCTTTTGGTGTCTCTAGTGAGCCAGTAGGAGCTCTGGTGGTGTAGTGCCTAAGGCACTTGACTGCTAACCAGAAGGTGGTAGTTCAAACCCACCAGCCACTCATCGGAAGGAAGGTTGGGCAATCTACTTCCATACTGATACCACCTCAGAAACCCAAGGAGGAGTCGCTATGAGCCGCATCCGACTCACAGCAGTGAGTTTGTTTTTTTTTTGGTTTAGTGAGCCAGTCAGATGACATTTGTTTCAAACCTACTATGTAGCAAGTATGTCACCTGTGATGATACCACAGGTAATAGAAACAGGTCACAGTTGTAGGCTGCTGTTCTCCACATCCCCATTTATAAGATAGTGGTTTTAGTGGAAACTCCTCCTTCCTGTGTGTATGTAGTGCTGTCAGAAGCAGCCTAATGAATTGCCCTGGGATCTGAAGTTCTACCACATTAAAATTTGGCCAGACACCAGTACATAACATGTAACTCAGCAGACCTCCTCTCACGCCCCAGAATTTATTCGAAGGAAGTAATTCAAAAGAAGAACAAAGCACTCTGCAAAGATGTTTTTAACAGCACTTCTTTTAAGAACGGAAACTAGCTATAACCCAAATACTCATCAGTTAAGGAATGCTTAAGTAAACCATGATAGTCCAACACAATAAACTGTTAGGCATTCATTAAAAATGATAAACATATTCTGTGGTTACGGGCTTCAGTGGCAGACAGACTCAAATCTGAGTCTTGGCTCAGTCACTTACTAGATATACATCTTTGGGCAAGTTTTTTAAGCTTGATAAGCTTGAACCTCAAGTTTTTTCTTTATACAATAAAAATCATAATAGAATCTATCCAATAGGATTACTATATGAAATAAATTTGAAAAAATACACAATGAATTTAGTTAAGTACTCAATGTTAATCATAATTACATAAATAAATTTTTTAAAAAAAGGGCAGTACCATTTAACTTACATTATAGCTTTAGGATTAAGAGAGAGAAATTGGGGGAAATGAGGTGTCGGATGTAATAGAGGACTGCTGTTCAGTACTGAGATTTGATAACACTTAAGGGCAGGTTCCCTATGATTTTGCCATCCAGATGGACAAAGAACAAGTTGCAAGAGGGAAGTAAGGAGTGTTCTGGAGAAAATAATCTGTTGTTTCAGGAAAATGTTCTTTCTAGAGATAATCTACTAGGAAACCTTCCAAATATGTGGTTAAAACAATGCAGACACCGTGGTGGGAAAATAGATTAGTTCTGAAGAGTGGAGTGGGCTGGAAATTCTTTGTACAGTTCCTAATAAGCCTAGGTTCCACAGGTATTTATTGAAACAAGACTGTCTCATCTGTGGTAGCCTGGCAGTATACCACCTGTAGCCAGAATGGTTAGCAAAGCCAGAGGAGGTAGCTAGTGGATGACCGTATGACCAAGAGTGGGTTTCCTTAGAAATGAGACTGCCAGGGCCCACCTCATGGAGCATCTGATCAACCAGAAAGACAGCTTGTGCAAATCACAGCAAGCGAAGAGAAAGGAACACAAAGGAATCTGAGTTTATCAAAGCATAATACAAGGTAAAGCTGTATAGCTATCTACTACAATAACAACAGCCACCCCACTTATTGGCTTTTAAATAACATCTTAATGCTTATAAGTCCCAAATTTACATACCCAGTTTGGATTTCTTCTAACTCTAAATTCATATATCCAACTGCCTACTAATATCTCCATCTGGATAACTAATTGGCATTTCCAAATTTAACATAGCCAAAACCAAGCTCCCAAACTGACTCCTCCTGTAGTCTTCCCTATCTTCCAGTACACAGACAGAATACATTCATTAATGACCCATGACCTTGACCCTCGACCCTTTCTTTTATTTCATACCTCACAATGTTCCATCAGCAAATCCTCCAACTTTTCCATCAGAATATATCTAACGTCTGACCCCTCCAAGTACCTCCTCTTCTACCATCTGGATCTAGGTGTCTTCCATCTCTGGCCAGATGACTAAAGAAGCCTCCTAACTGGTTTCCTTGCTTTAGTATTTGCCCTGCTTCAGTTTAATTTTAGTACCTCAGCCTTTTAAATATGTTAGATCATGTCACAGTTCTGCTATGAACCCTCCAAAGACTTTCTCACTCATTCAGAATAAAAGCCAAAGAGCTTATAGTGGTCTTCAAGACCCTAAATTACCTGGCCCCCAATTACCTTTCTGCTAACTATATCCCTGCTGGATCCCACACACTCTGATCTCACTATTCCTCAGACACGTCAGACATACTCCTACCTGCTTTCCCTCTTGCCTATTGTGGTAGTAAAGGTTCTGTATCAACTTGGCTGGGCCTGATTTTGAGTAGAAGGCCAGCTAGATGTAGTTATTCCCCAAGATGAGACTAGTAAGCAACTCCATGATGGAATCTACTGTGAGCAGCTGAGTAGCTGCCTTAGGGAATGTGGTCTGCTTCCAGCATACAAGAAGCAGCTTTGAGAAAGGTCTCGAGCTTTTTGGCACATCTGGATCCTGAATTTGACTGAATCTTCATCTCAGTGGCCTGCCATGTTGTCTCCCAATCTTGAGACTGTTTCTGGACTTGAACTAGTGGCCTGCCATGTTGCATGATAATTTTGGGACTGTGCCGTTTTACTTGTCAATCTTGGGTAAAATTCAGCTGCCTGAATTAAGAGAAGCCTCCAGCTTCAGTGGGCCAGGAGCAAGAGGTAGAGCTTAAGTTCAAGGTGTAGAGGCTTTCACCCAGCCCTGAGACCTGGCAGTTTGAACTTGGACTTCTAGCCTCCTAAACTGTAAGAGAATAAACTCCTGTTTGTTCAAGCCATACGTTTGCAGTATTTTCTATTACAGCAGCACTAGAGAAACAAAACACCTACAATACTCTTCTCCTAGACACTCACATAGCATGTTTGCTCATTTGCTTCAAATCTTTGCTAAAATGTCACCTTCTTAGTAAGACCTTTCCTTACTACTCTGAAATTGTGTGTGTATATGCACATATAAATACACACACATGCACATATATGCACACACATGCACACACATAAATACA